GCCGCCGTGCGCCCTAGAGCTGGGGGCGCAGCAAGAGCGCTGGCTCCAGTTCCAGAAGCGCCAGCGGGTGAGCTGCGAAGAAGCGGCCAAGCTCCTGCTGGACACCTTGTGAGTTTTTGGGGGGGAGGGCGAAGCGGGGGGGGGGACACGATCCGGCGCCGAGCCCCCCCTCCCCGATCTAGACCTGGATCCATACATAGGGCGCGCTGGGGGCACGCTGGCGCAAAGGCTGCGCGGAGACCCTCGAGCCTTTCCCCGGGGCGCGCGGAGACCTCCAACTTGTTGCGCAGAGGGGAAGAGCCGAGCCTTTAGGATGGGCAGTGTGTGTGTGTGTGTGGAGGGGGAGAGGTTACATTAAAATCCGATAGTGGTTTTGTTTGTTTTTTTTTTAAATTAAGAAATAAGCCGGAGGTAGGGAAGCTGCAGCCGGCTAGATTTTATGGTTTCCAGGCGGCGGGTCACTCCTCAGGTCTGAATTTCAGACTTGCCCACCTCCTCCAGTGGATAAAAGCCCTCCAGCTGAAACATTTGACATGGGGGTAGAAGACCAGTAAAGGAAACTGAAGGGCCATTAAATGGGTCGCTCAAAGAAACTGCAAGGTTTACATCTTGCAAATTGTTTGTACTGGAATCCTGGAACGTGTCTTAAGATGCAACTGTTCAGTTGCTTAGTTTTTAAAGTCCTCCAGGATCCTTCTTAAGCTTGGGTATTGGTAAACTTTAAAGCTCTGTTTGGAATAATCTGATAAGGATCATCTGGTAAGGATATTATTGTTTCTGGATTTTATACAAGGAGCACCTACCCCCTTTTTGGGGGTAAAGTTTTCTGGAAAGGGGGGAAATGCACATACTGTAAATATCATAGTATTCCGTCCCATGTCCCTTCTATAAGCACAAGAACCAGTTGAACTGGCTGTGGGACCAGAGGTCGGGGGTCCGATGCCCCCATGGCGCCTCCTGGTAAAAGAGCCAGCCTGTATATCCTTGGGCAAGCGGCCAGAGGTCGGGGGTCCGATGCCCCCATGGCACCTCCTGGTAAAAGAGCCAGCCTGTATAGCCTTGGGCAAGCGGTGCAACAGTCCCAAAGCACCCACAGAAGAAGGGAAGGGTCAACGACTTTGGAAAACCCTGAAAAATGGCTGCTTCTGCGTCAGAATTGACTTGGTGGCATGCAATTATTAATAAGAACAATCTGGGATTAAACTAGACTCAAAAGACACTCCCCTTCCAAGCCTTGGGGTTCCTTCTCTTTTTTCCAGTCATCTCAACATTTTTGAAAAACATTCTCCATTTAGCTTAATTTTGTATTTGGTGGGATACGTGTCAGGTCCAGGCAGTGACCACGAATGCTTAAGGCGCTCGTCTCATAGCCTGAATACCACCCGAGGGTAGTTTTGCTCAATTTGTGACCTTCCGGAGGCAGTGGAAGTGGACTGCAACTCTCCCACCACGTCCCATCACTCTGGCCTGGGGATGATGGGAGATGTGGGCCAGCACAATCTAAAAGCACCAAGCTGGGGGGGGGGGGAAGAGACTGGCAGAAAGAATCCCTGAAGGCGAAAGAGCCCAATGTGTCCTTTTCTTCGTTTTCCTCCTTTTCCCGAGGCACAGTTTTCGAACGGCGATGGTTCTAATTGAGTGTAGAAAACGGACCTTTGAAGGCTACCGCTGTCCAAACCCTGGAGCCCATACGGAGCATTCTACGATGTGAATATCGCCCACCAAAAGGAACATTTCCGAGAAGTTGGGATTCTAAATAATAATTCTCTTCCTTTTTTTTCCAGCGAATACCAAGGGCTGGTGAAGCACACGGGAGGTTGCCACTGTGGGGCTGTCCGTTTTGAGGTCTGGGCCTCGGACGTCGTCCACGTCTTCGACTGCAAGTGAGTGGGGGCGCTTGCCTGCCTGCTCCCTTCTCGAAGCAGCCGTGGCAAAAACTCTTAGAACCACCGGCTTTCAGAGAAGCGTCCCCAGTCCGTATGAAAACGGCACGCTTTCCCCCTCCATTAGTCAAGAGAGGGAAGCTGGCCTGGCTGAGACTCCTTCCAGACAGTCCTCCTCCCCCTCCTAAGGTGGCTGGGGCATGCTTTAAGCGCTTCGGAGCCTGCTGAGGATGATGGACTTCTTACTTTTAGGAGCAGGGACTGTGCAGTGGGTGGGTTTCGCTGAGCGCCTTTTCACTCCTCCCCTTCTGTCTCTCCCACCCGGCCTGCCCTTCCCAGCTGCAGCATCTGCGTCAAGAAGCAAAACCGGCATTTCATTGTTCCGGCCTCACACTTCAAGCTGCTGAAGGTAACGCTGGGACCTGAGAACGGTGTCTGTTTGTGTGTTGGTGGCCGTGGCAGGAGACACGCATCCCTGTTAATTTTCGGCACAGTTGGATGGATCTGGAGGTTACAGCTACGCAGTATGGGGAAATAAATATTTGCCATTAATATTCTCCTGCAAGAGCTTGGGCTGAGCTCTCTCGATCCATGATAACAAGTTTCTAGGTGACACTGAGCATATGACTTCAAAGATGTTTCCGGCACATCTGAAAAGCGACAGGCAGTGTAGGTACACTGCACAGTCACAGATGGCTTTAACAGCCATGGCAGCATCTTAAAAAACCTGGGGAGTGAGTTCGAATTCAGTGCCAGAGAAGAGGCCTAGTCTACCTCCTGGCAGGGCTGTAACTAGGACTGAGTAGCAGGGTTCTTTGACCTGGGGCACCAAAATGTAGAGGACGCCAACATTGAGAGAATCTGCCGGGGAATGGTAGGAAAATAAAGGGCAGATCTTCCTGGCCTGATGGAGTCCCTCCTCCAAAACACATCCTTTAGGGGAGGGGCACCAGGTTTTCCCCCACCTTTGTGGGAGTTGTGTGGCCAAACCTCAGACCCCAACGGGTGAGAGATGGTTCCTTTCGCCCGGGGAGTGGAGGGGAAGCCACTGAAATGACTCCTCCAGCCTTATCCTCCCTGAATCACCCCCAAGAACATCTCAGCCCCTCCCCAGACAACCAGTGGGGGAGGATCTCCGAGGGCAGTCTCATGGCAGCAGAAAGTGGGATCAAGCGGAGGCAAAGAAAACACGCTAAGGGATGAAGGGGAAACCGCGGCCTCTTCGCCTCTTCAGGTTTAGCTGTGGCCCACAAAGATCATGAGGTGCGAAGATGCCTGTGTTTTGGGGCCCTGCCCCCCCCCAGATATTTCCTGAATTTGAATTTTGGCTCTCGGTTGGAAAGAGGCTCCCCCTCCCTCACGCTAAGACCATGTACTCCCTCCCGCCCAGGGCGCCGACAACCTCGCCACCTACACCTTCAACACCCACTGCGCCAAGCACACCTTCTGCAAGACCTGCGGCGTCCAGAGCTTCTACACCCCGCGCTCCAACCCGGACGGCTACGGTAGGGAAGAAGTCTTCGCAGCCGGCACTTCCAGCGTGGTGGGAATCACTTGTGGTCCTTGGTTTCGACTCCTCCCGAGCCCCAGCAACTCAATATGGAAGTCACACGGGGGCTCAGAGGGGTTGAGCTGAGCCTCTATCAGGGGCCCAGAAGGCAAATTCATGTTTGGACGCCACCCAATAAGCCAGAGAGTGGGCTGACTTGTCTCTGTCCTAGCCTTGTAGGTCAGGAATGCTAGGTTTTTTTGTTTTGAGTTTTAAAGCTCAGCTAGGACATCTTCCAAGGCCCCCAAATAAATCCACTCCTGGTTTTCCTTCCCACATTTCTTAGCTTTCAGCTGTCCCAAGTTTTCAGTGGGGCTGCTATTCTTGAACTGGTGGGAACTGGGAATCCTCGCTGATCTGATGGCACTATCCCAGAGGTCTACTGGTAGATTCTGAGGCGTCGACTGCCTTTCTCCAGTCTACTGATACTTGCCTTTTTTGTGCTGACCTGCTGCAAGAGCCCAAGGGTGCATCTGAAGGGCAAATAAAGCCCCCAAGTGGTGCGGAGGTGTGGGCGATTTAAATGTTCCGCTGGTGTTTTCTTTCCTGAGAGCTTTGAATGGGGCAGGAGGAGAGTGTTTTTTTTTTCTAAACTCAGAAGTGGCACTCTGCCGCTGGCATTTATAGGAGCATTAGGTTGTGCCCCAAATAAGTCCTTCACACCCCCAAAGGAACTGGGTTTTAGCTGCCTGGGGAAATGCTCAAAGCGGTAGCCCCAAAGGACGAATTGTGGGCCACCACTTCAGACAGGGATCTTTTTGAGTCCTGCTCCATACAGCTTTGCTCCAGAGCCCTGGATGCTTCCGTCTTTGACATCCCAGACCAGTGCTTTTTTAACCTAGCACGGCCACAGGAATGATGGGAGCCGGAGTTCATTCCCTCTTGGAAAGTGCCAGGTTGAAAGAGGCCGGCCCTGTCCTTTAGGGGAAGATCCAGAGGACGGGGCGGGGGGAGTCAGTCTGCCTCATACGTTGTCTTTTCCCTCGCAGGAATAGCACCGCACTGCTTGGATGAAGGCACCGTGAACAAAGTCACAGTGGAGGCGATCAACGGCAAGGAGTGGGAGAAAGCCGTGAAAGCCCACCCCACCATCAGAGCCATGTCGAACCCATGACCCAGCCAGTTCGGGACAGGTGCCCTGATGGTTCACCTCTTCCCCTCCACCCCTCTTGAAACCCTCCTGTTTGTTCCAGGTAGATTTAGGCAATAAAGCTTGTATTTTTGTAAAATAAACCTTTTTGTGCCACCCCTTTTTTCCCCATGAGTAAACACTACCGGAAGAACGATTCCCCAACAAATCTTGTTTTTTTTAATACCTCCCTCCCTCCCATTAAAAAGGTATTAAGAAATTTAAACTCCTTCCTTGACTCTTACATCAGCTGGTTTGACCTGTACAAGCCATCGTTCCTTTGTGAAGCAGTGGTGTGTGGGGAAAAACACTCCTGTTTGATCTTCACAACAAACCGGTGAGATGAGCCAAATGAGGGAAAGTGTGTGGTCTTCCTGAGGGTGTCCCTGGACTACAAACCCCATCATCCCTCCCCCATTAGCTGCACTGGCTGGGGCTGAAGAGAGTACAGTTCAGAAACATCTGCCACACAAATGTTTCCCACGTCTGCGTTAAGGACCTCAGCTAAGCAAGGCAGGGGGAAAAGCACAGGGTAATTGGTCCGCCCATGTTTAATGGTTTTTGTCATTATTTCAAGTTTTAGTTTTTTTTAAAAAACATTCAATATCTGAAAAGTCCTGGTCCAATCGCTCCTTCCCTGTCCAGTATGTTAAGCTGCAAGGTTTCCTCTTTCCGGTCTTGAGAGGAACTTAGGCAAACCCATGGTTGTGTCCCTTCGGCTTCCATCGTGGCAAGAAAAACGCAACTGGCAGATTCCTCTTATCAGCTCAAGGTGGGAACCTGCGAAACCAGACAGGAGAGGCAGAATTCTTGGTGCAGCTTTTTGGGTGAGCTCACCCGATCCAGTGCTCAGACAGAGGTTGCCAGGAGTGCAACCACACCTCTCGCGATGCTGCATCCGCTGCTGTTCTGTGGTCATCTTGGAAGACTTGGAAGAAGGCCTTTCCCCCCCCCTTAGAGGAAACGAAGCGAGTTGACCACCATGTAGCGTGAGAAGATCACGTAGAGGCGGCGGAACCACATGAACTGGCTGCGGTGACACCTCATGGCTCTCTGGATGGGCAAGAGAAGGGGGAAAAATCATTTTTTCAATCTAGATTGCATTGAGGCCTGGTGTATGCTTTGGAGGAGGCCCCTGACTCTGCTCACACATCACAACAGACCAGTGTGGTTTTTCAAAATCCACCTTATTGTGCTGTTTGAATTGCCCTTACTAACAATTCAGAAGCCACAATAACCCACAAGTTGTGTTTAAACCATGGCTTGCTACGACATCCAGACACATAACTATAGCTTATCTTCGGCTTGTTTCCCCACTGTTCCCATCCTGAAAACAGGAGCTAACAAAAGAGAGAGAGACTGAGAAATAGGAAAGGACAATTCAAATTCGATGTATGCTGTGGAATTCCTGCCTTAAGTAACAAATCATGGTTAATGCAAGCCATGGTTTGTTGTGAGGTCTGAATATGTAATAGCAAAGTGGGGACAGTGAACCGTTGAGCTGAGAAAGGACTGCAGGCTATTCAGGCTCAGGAACGGTCAGCCCTAGACCTTGCGAAGTGAGACCAGGATCAAAGTCTGGGGGAAAGCACTGGCAATCAAGTTGTGATCTGGAAAATTTTTATTGGTGTCAGTGAATAACATCTTGTCTGCTGTTTCAAGGGTTGCTGGAATCAGCACCTCCTGAAAGGGATACGGCTTTCTGCGTATAATGCTGCACACGCGTTAAGTGAAGTCCCACAGAGTTGGGGATTTGGGGAATTGTAGTCCAAAACGTAACACATTTTCCAAGGCTCCAGATTTCTGCAGGATTGCCACCTAAATCCCCCAGTGCCACAAGAGACGAGACAGCCGCGGCCTCCCCGTTGATCCACAGCCCGCCTTGTAGGGAAGGGAGCTGCGTGCTAGCAGTGGGCGGGGCCAAAGGGAAAAGTGGGTGGGGTCCCGCAGGTGCCTGCTCTTACCTGGGCCACCTCAGCCTCCTCTTCCGTCAGCACAAAGAGCACATCCTGGTTCTGGAGGCAGCTGATGGGGAGGTCCAGGAGCGAGATGTACTTCCGGAAAAGGCTCACTGTCTCGAGGGTCAGGACGCGGCAGCCTGGCCGAGCGGAGAGAAAGCCGGGTGATGTTGGACGGGTACCCTGCCCTTGACTCTTCACACTGCCAATTTTAGGCAGATTTCACTTTAAAGCAAGTCCACCTGAGAGCTTGGCAGACTTGGCCTTTTTTTGGGGGGGGGATGGAGATGCAGCAGGTCAAAAGCTGACCTGGGAAGATGCGGGTTCAAGTTCCCTCTGAGCCACCAAAACTTACTAAGTGGCTTCGGTAAATCATGCTCTGTTTCTTAGCCTGACCCGCTACCTGGCAGGGCTGTTGTGAAAATAAGTACTGTACAAGGAGGACATAATCTCTCTTTCCCCTCTTCCCTCTCCCTCTCATACACATATACACTTCAAGTACAGGACATCACGAAATGGATAATAATGGGGGCAGCGATGATCCTTCCTGCTCTGCTCCTCCATACAGGAGCCATACCAAGAAACTAGGAGCAGAATCCTATCTGAGTCTATCAAGAAATATTAAGCGCCATTGAGTTTGGAAAGGGAGAATGCATACAGGATTCCACCTCCTGGTGGTTAAAAGACAACTGACAAATACAACACACAGGGACCAAGGATGGTTAAACATTGGAGCTGGTGCAGAAAGGACTTTGCCCGGAGGAGGGGGGGCAGAAAGTCACTGAAACTGAACCAGGTTCAATGTGGCTGGGAACAACCCTGCAGTAAGACCAGAGTTTTTCTACCCGGACCATTTCGGTTTGCCGGCAAAACGTGGCCCCAGTAAAGCTGCTGAGAGGTCAGAAGAGTTACTCGGGAGGGGAAAACAGGACTCCAAAACATCACCCCCGCCTCTGCCAAAGTAACTTCTCCGGGTGGTGCTGGGTTATCCTTGCAAAGTTGGTGCAGTTGCCTCGGGATCCCACCAGGGGGCACTGGACGACCCTAAACGCCGGGATCCGGCCAAAACCCAGACCCTGCCGAGGAGAGGATGATTTCCTAGCGAGCGCAAGGGCTCCCAAAGGTGGGGGACATGTTCTCTCCCCCGCCCTCGGTGACCCTGTCGGAAGGGGCCAGAGGGGTCTTTTCTTCCTTCGAAAACGGCGGCTCGTCGCCCACCGGCCCGGCTACCTGGAAAAAGAGACAGGACCACCACGGGAACTGGATGGGGAGCCACGGCTAGAGGAATCAGAAGGAGGCGGGCTTTTCCCCCCCCTCCGAGAAAGGTTATGGAAGGGTTTAGATCTGTTCATTTTGTTAAAATCCCGCCCGCCCCCCTTCCGTAAACTCAAGGCTGTCTTCTAAAGGGTGACTGCTGGGCTTTGCCCTCACACCGGCCTTGCGAGGTAGCACCACTGCGTGCGTGTGTGTGAGAGAGTGAGGAAGACAGAGACCGATTCGCCTGGGGTCGCCAGGGGAGTTTCGGGGCTCGGCAGAGATGCAGTCCTGGCTCTCTCTGCCCATCTGCTACATCACAACAGCACTGAAGACCGCAAGGTCCCTTTCTTGCCACGCGCTAGACCGCCGAGGTCCCAAAGCCCGAAATTTCCTGCGTGGGGTCCCGTCCCAATGATCTGCTTCCTCGGCCAGTCTCTTCCCTACTCAGACTGTCTACAGGGCACATCATTTGCGATTAATTAGCAGATTTAAAAAAATGAATCCGTTCGCATACAGACACGAATATGACTAAGAGAAAGAAGTTAGCGTGTCCGGTGGGCAAAGGAGGTTTGGACCTGCATGGCGTAACGTACCTTCCGGAAGCTTCCTCTTTGAGCGCAGGTGCCTGTGGAAGGCAAACATGGCAGTGATGAGTGAATGTCCTGGATTTGGAGGGACACGGGTTTGAATCTCTGTGGAGCAACAAAGCTGAGCTGGGGTGGGTGGGGGACACTGGAATTGTCCGTGTCGAGCTGTGTGGCCTCCCTTGTGGGATCGGTGGGAGGATAAGCCGGGTTGTGGGTCACCCCCTCGATCTCCTTACAGGAGGTCAAGGGAAGCTGTGGCCTTTCGGAAGTGGCTGGACTGCATGTCCCATGATCCTCAGCCAGCAGATCCAATAGGAAGGGGATGATGGGAGAAGGAACTGTCCAGCCCTAGATCCATCCGGCATGCCTGCCTCGAAGGACCACTCAGGGGCAGCCACAACCTCAAAAGCTGCCCTTTATCTTGCTTGGCATTGACCTGCACAATTAAAGGGACCCTCACAGAAATAAAAGTTATAGCTCAGATGCGCCTCGAGAACCATGAGGACTAGGATCTTACTCGCTGTAGCTTAGTACAGGAGCCAACAGTTTGCACAGAGACGGTTGGGTGTTCAGTTCCTGCCCTCTCCACGGTTGGGAAAAGCCTGCAGAAAATCTTGGCTGGACCATGCTGTGGCCGGCTGGGCCGCCTAGGGGTTACAGCCAGCCCAGACGGCCGCTTCCTCAGCAGAGACCCTGCGGCAACTTAAATCAACATGCCCTAAAGTGGACCCACAGCTTGAATCGCAGCCCCTCGCCTGCCCCTGAAAGCGTCTGTGGTGGGGTCTCTGGCAAAGCCCAGGCCTGCCCGCCTCTGAAGACTATAGATGGGAATGAGCCGGGCTGCAGGCGCACAGACGGGAGGGGAGAGCGTGGCTTTTAAATTTTTTTTTAATTTCTTCTTCTTCCCAGCTCTGCGGGCTTGGATCCCTTCCAAGGAGGGGAGAGGTTGCCGCCGGGCCGGGCGGCTTTTTCCCCCTGCTCTGCGCCCATGGCCATTTTGGGAATGTTTGCTGGAAGAGTTCGGACGCCCTGCGGTTGGGCCGGCAAGGAAAAAAGAGAGAGAGGGGGAGATGATTTGTCCGCAGCCGGGAACAAATATGGGCACGTGATGTAGGGGGAGAAAAGGGGGCCCTTCCCGGCCCCCCCAACTCATCTCCAGGGCCTCCAAAAAGGGAAAATAGCAGGGAGACCTTGTGTAGGTGGAGAGCACACGGGGTGGGATTGTTGGGGACTACAACGCCCCAAATTGGATCCCGGGGATTCTTGCCATTGTAGTCCAGAGATGCAAATCCACGCCCCTCTTATTTACGGCATCAGGATTAGGACCGCAGAGACCCAGGTTTGAATTCTCTTTCTGCTGTAATGCTTGTCGGGTGACCATGAGCCAGGCTGTCTCTCCCTCTCTCTCTCTCCCTCTAAGACTGACCTACCTCACAGAGTTGTTGTAAAGAAGAAGAAAAAACTCGGGGAGAGAGAGAGGAGAGAGCCATGGTTAGCACTGTCCATGAGCTCGCTGTAGGAGTGGAAGGCGGGACAGAAAAATGGGTCCGGTAGGTAGAAAAATGGACCGCTTTTAATAAAATACTTCTTTAATTCTTTTTGAACATTTGTGTACTCATTATTTTCAGCTTCTAAAGATTGGCTTTTAACAGCTGCCAGCCACCTTGGGGCTTTTAAAGGAGAAAGATGGGGTAAAAATCTTATAAACCAACAAAGCAGACAGGATACCTGATGGCGGCGTACAGGGAGACGTGGTTCATGTGACCGCTGACTCCCCCGGCGTCGAAGGTCACTATCTGAGGGGTAGCAGGGAAGAGGACCACAAAATCACACACACACACATATTCACAGAGAAAGATTATGTTTTCACTGCTATGAGAAGCGACCTTCATGTCTCGGACACAAAACGGCAGGACGTGCTTTTCTACGAAATGAAAGATAATGGAGGAGGGGGTGTCTCTGATTTCAAGAATTTATGTTGCTCTCATGGTCCCTGCGCTTCTCTATTTAAAGGCGGGGAGGAGAGGTCCTCCTGGATATCAACTCCCATCAGCCCCAGCCCATGGGGGATGATGGGAGCTGTGGTCCACAGACCTCCAGCCCATCCAGATTGAAAGGTTTCTGTGTGGCCCGGGGGGGGGGGGGGGAAGGAAACCAGCCACGATTTAAATCAATGAACAAAAAGGTCTAACACAGTTGGATGAGGTCCAGCCTCTGGGAGCCGGCTGCTGAGAAGGTGTCCTGCCGAGAGGCAGTGCAGGGGAGTGGTTAGCACTCAGGAGATCCAAAGCCCATGTGCTCCCCAAGCCCAGAAGGCAGCGCTCTTGGGCCCCTCCAGACGAAGCCCAAAACAGGAGCACCCCGTTTTGGTGCCAGGGGGTGGCGGCCACGGGTAACCGCCTGGCCCATGGCCAGGCCAGGAAGAAGAGGAGGGCCATACGGCACGGCGGGCTTCAGGAAGGGCAGGGGGGCTTGCCGGTCCTGTTCTACCCGTCAGGTGAGGAGGAGCCGGCAACTTTGCCGGGACTCACCCTTGGCTGGGCTCCCTCCTGGTTGCACAAGGCAGGGCCTGGAGGCAGTAGGGGAAAGGTCCCAGAGGGAGGAGGAGGAGGAGGAGGAAGAGGAGGAGGAGGATCCCGGCTGGGGCTGGTGCCGTCAGGAGGAGGAGACATCCTCTTTCTCTCAGGCTTCCTCTGTCCCTCCTCCTCTCTCAGCCAATGTGTTTGGGCCACCCTCTGGGCATCGGATCTTGGAAACGTTCTCCTCCTTCTCCCACAGGGAGGGGGGACTCCAGGGACGAGAAAGGAAAGCCCCTGGTGAAGCCGACCTTCTCTCCATTGGGTGGAGAAAATGGGTGGGGGGCACTTATGGCCCACCAGATGTCCTTGGACTCCAAGTCTCATCATCCCCTCAGCATTGGCTAATTTGGCTCAGGACCAGGGGAGGTGACCCACCCGTCCAATGAGAGCTGCAGGGTCACACACTTCACCCCTCACCACCCTAAAAGAAGGAAATGCTTAAGAGGTGTGTTTGTGTATTTTTTTTTTTACCAGAGCGATTTGGTTGGTTTCCACATGCTTAAGGATCAAGGAAGAGAGAAGCTGTACATCCCACTTCACAGAAGGATGGTCTGGAAGATCTCTAGGAAAGAGAAGAAAGAACATTGACATTAATGACTATTATTATTTATATTATTTTAAAATCCTGCTTATAAAAACTCTTCATAAAAGAGCCGACACACAACGAAGAAAAGTTGTGTCCACTTCCCTTAGTTATTGATACGTTCCAAATGGAGCTGTGCTTTGAAGGCAGGAAAGTAGCTGCCTGGAAACTGAGCTGGGCTTTGCGTGCCTGAAAGTGACTGCCTGGTGCTAAGCATTCAGCTGTGCTTTGCACGTCTGGAAGATGTGGCACCAAGGCTTCTCCTGCACAGATGAACCACAAAACAAAGCTATGCTTTGCATGCCCGGAAGCTGTGCTTTGTGTGCCCAGAAGTCATTGAATGGGGCTTGTTCCCGAGCAGAGGGGCTGTCTCAGCTTAGCAGTGCTTTGCTGGTCAGAAAGCTGGGGCTTACACTCAAACGGACCATGCGCAGGCCTGAGCCGTGCTTTGCCTGCTGGCTGGAAAATGTCCAAACAGATATGAATCGCAGCTGGCCCGCTCCTCAAACTGGTGACCCCCAGACCCTCCCCGATCACGACGCTTCTCTTGCAGCCAAAAAGACTTCCCTGTGTGCTCTTTTAAGGCTGAAAACAAGGATCCCCCCGTCTGTGGTTTAACAAACAAAAATCTCCCCAAGATAAGGAGCAAAGCTCCAATGTTGCAGAGTTGCCTCGAAAAGGCCGTCGGTAGCTTCTGACTCGTTCCGAGGGATGAAGGTCACGCCAGTTCAATGGAAACCAACAGCTGGAGAAGGCAGATCAAGTCCCCGGGGAGCTCAAGAAGGCTACGGGGAGCCAAAATTAACTCTTGTCTCGCTCAGGGAAAGAGGGAGAGAGAGAGAAGCACAAAACTGAAACTGTCTTATGTCCAAACATTAGTTAAGCGGTTCCGGAAGTCTGGGACTCCGTGGATTCACTGAACGTGAAAGCCGATTTTTCGATACGATTGTGACAGGCATTGGAACGACCGTCCGGTCATGAGTCACAGTATATGGAAGGAGGTGGGATTCGGGGCTTAGGCTCCCGTGAGCCGGGTTCGAAACAGAAGAGGCGATAAACCCGCATCGCCCTGGCTGCGCTGCAAAAGAGACACCCCAAAAGTGGATGCTGGATGCAGGATGCAAAAGACAAGGAAAGAAAAAAGAAGGCCGACTGCCCCATGTGGAAGAAGAGGGAGGGCTGAGCCCCCCCCATTTCTCAAAAGGGTTCCCCTCCTTCCCCTTCTGCAGATGCAAGACAACACAGACATGTGGGGTGTGTGTGTGTGTCTTTTTTTCAGGGAGGGTGTGTCTTTCCCGAAATGTCCTGGAATGATGATGCTAGATCCTGACAGCCCTTGACCTGCTGGTGCAGAACTTTCTAGAACTCCACCCCAGAGACTGACCCATCCCAGCATGGGTCCGGAGGAAAATACTGTACAGACCTTGGAGCCCTTTGGAGTCCCTGCCCCATTCCTCTCCATCCCCGTGGCCTCCGAAGTGGGTCACAAAGGTCACAGAAGGGCGGGGAGATGTTGGCACTTCTCCTAGCCTGACTGTGGTTCAGGGCGCTGGGCCCCTTAGAGGAAAGAAGCCCTATTGGGGGGGGGGAGCTGTGGGGCTCAGCATTTTGGGGCAGAGGTCCTTTGGGTCCTGGGGGCCAGCTCCCGATCCTAGCCCCATTGCCAAAGATGAAACATGCTGTTCCCGGAGGGGACCGGCAGAATCGCAGATTTGCGGCCGGTCACAAGCTGTGCCGAAGGACAGAGGGGCAGGCTGCGTTCAATCTAGGGTGACCCGAACTGGGACAGGGCGCCAATCGAGGCCATCCCTCGCCATTTTGCTGCCTGAGGCCAAGGGCACGCCGGTGCCCGCTCCTAGGCCCCACGGGGCAACACAAGAAGGCAGATCCCTGCCCCAAGGAGCTTACGCTGGAGCCCTAACCTTCCAGGTTTACGAGGTGAGAAAGAGACGGGTCCCATCTTAAACAGCCCCATGGCAGCCCTGTGAGGACAGATCAAGCTGAGAAGAAGAACGATGGAGGAGCAAGAGAGAGATCGAGAGAGGGGATCCAGTCACGGACGACAGCCCGGATCTCCTGCCTTGTCTCCAGCCCTTCCTTCGGACAACCGGAGCAGCTTCCCTCTCCTGAATGATGGAGGAGTTCCTGGAAGGAGCCTTCAGGTTCCTTTCTCAGAGACGACAACACCACCGCTTATCGGGATGTGAAATCGGGCCTCCGTCTGACGAAGGGGCCGCAGATGAACGCAACGGCCAGGCGCGGCAGGAACACGTCCATATTCAGATGGGAACAACTCGTGGGAGGCAGCCCCGGGAGGGAGGAAAACCCAACAGGGTGGATGGAAGTCAGGAAGTGGGGGGGATGAGGGATTGCGCCGAGACAGGGCGGTGCCGTGGTGGTGAGAGTGCATCGGGAGGTCCAGATTCTGTTTGGCACTGAAGCTTGGAACTTATGGGGTGACTACAACTCCCAGCATCCCACGGCTCACGTCTGTTGGGGGGGGATCATGGGAGCAGATGTCAAAAATGTAACTTTTCCAAGGTCTGCTTTTCAGCTTGAGAAATCCTAACGCATGTGTGTCTCTCTCTGTGTGTGTTGTGTGTATGTGGATACCTCAACATTTCCCCCCCCCTTTCTCTGGAAGGCAGAAGAGGGGAAACGGGGTGGGTGGGTGGTGGCGAATCCCGAAGCTGCGGCCTTGGCGGTCCAACTTTCCCGATGCCAGGAAAGAAACCCGCCCGCTTGGCAGAGGCCAGCGGTGGCGCCTGGTCTGAAGCACGGAAATGCCCTGTCCTTTTTCCAAGGGGACTGTTTTCAAAAGAAACAGAAACCGCGGAGCGGGCTAGTACACGGTGTCCTCCTCCTCGCGCTAAGGAGAGTTGGACGAGGAGGCTCCACGCCTCGTTGTGATGCGCCTTTGAGGAAGGAGGGAGGGAGGGAGGGTCTGGGCTGACAGACCAGCCCGTCCTTCCGGCTGCCTGCCGACTCCAGCGGCTACTCCTTTCCACTCCGCTTGGCTTCAGGGCCACAACCTGGGTAGTGGGACTCCACTGTCTGAGTTTGCTTCTTCTCTCCCCCCACCTTCCTCTGCAAGCCTTTTCCTTTTTGGCTGTGCCTCTTTGAGTGCCAGGAGGGGAATGGTCTCATTTCCGATACCTGTTCTCTGCTCTTGGGGAGGCTACGAAGAGATGGGAGTAGACAGGAGCCCAACGAGCAAAAAGAAAGAAACAAGAGCTTGGAAAAGTTACTTTTTCCACAGACACCTCCTAGAATCTGCCCTGGACTTCCTTTAGGGCTGGGCTGAAACTCCTTCACCCTGACCCATCCCCCTTCGGAATAACTTTCCCAGGCTTGTGTCTCATCAAGGAAGGCTTTTGCTTTCCGCTCCATCCATCCGTCTGTCGGTCTCAGCTCTTCCTCCTTCCTGGCCGCAAACACACAGAAAGAACAGAGGCTTTTTGAGAGCCAAGGAGGAAGCTGGCCAACCCGGGTGACCTTTCCTCTCTCTCTCTCTCTTTCTTTCGAAGGCAAATATTATGCAACCCTGAGGTTCCAAGGGCTGGAACCGCACGAGGAGGCAGGACGTCTCGGCCTCTCCCTTGATCGAGAGTAACCCTCGGCACAATACCCAGCCTGCCTTGAGCGCTTTCCAGTGGCTGCTTTCACCACAGTGGCCCGCAACAACAGCAATAACAACTGCCGGTTCAACAGATGGCATTTTATCTTCTTTTTCTTTTTCCTATAGCACCGAGAGCTGATTATCCCGGGTTACGGAATGGGAAGGGGGGCAAAGAGGAGAGACGGCACCTTCCTTTTGCCTGTGGAGCCCCTCCGTCAGAGGGAATCAGTGAGGGCAGAAGGGTTTTCTTCAAAAAACCAGACAGACCTATTGTTTTCAGCTCTCCATGCGCAGAGACAAAACGCTTCCCCAAATATTCCACACCCCCTGAATCCTTTGCAGTGTTGAGGGTTTGAATGTCATACAGGCAGGCAGGAGTTCCTCGGGAGAGCTGCACCCCATGGAAAAGTTCTTCGGAGTTAAACCGCATGTTTTATTTTATTTCCCCCTCCGCTTCTACAGGGCCGGGATGATGGCGAAGCGCCCTTCCTTCCAGGAAACGTTGGCAAGCGAACTCCCCTGTCTGTCGTCTGCGCCGCTTTCAGCTCCCTGCATTCAGTTCTTTCGAGCAAAACCTTGTTTGAATTTATTTCTTGGAAATTAAAACCATCCCACTGTCAACTCCCCCGCCGAGATCGAGGGGAGGAACCCCCTAAACGCTGTTTCGTGTTTCTATCGGACTGGAAGAGCCATCGAAACACGCTTCCTTCCTGAAGGAACGTTGGGCTACCCCTCCCATTGCCCACAGCCTGGCAGAGGATGATGGGACTCGTGGTCCCCCACCTCCAGGGCGGGGCCTAGACTGGGGAAGCGTATAGACATGGTGTGTAAAACAAACACACAAGAACCCAACAAGGCCACCACAGACATTTTACCTTCACATTGCATCATGCTCACTCCTCACTTTTGGAAAATAGGTGTGTTTTCAGGAGGCGGATGAAAAGCCAGAGAAATCTGCTTTGCTTGGAGGCTCAGTGAGGGCAGAAGGCCAGGCAGAGCAGAACCACTGCTGTTTCTCAATCCAGCCATGGAGAATTTTTGGAGGAAGAAAAGAGAGGGAGACAGGAGAGTTCAGCCTAAGAGCTGCCAAGCAAGAGCAGTCTATCTGAATTTGTTCATGAACCTCCTAAGGGCCATTCTGACGTTCTTGACCCTTCCTGTCGGCGGATAAAGCAAAGGCTTCATCGCCCAGCTGGCTTCCTCCTGGCCTGGCTCTGTTTTGCTTCTTTGTTGACATGTCCCTGCGAGGACAGGAGGAGAAGCCTGGGCTGCCTTTAAGTCACATATTTGCCCGCCTTCAATCGGCACAGAAGCCGCAGCGGACCGGATTCTGGGAAGAGGAAATTGACCATCTGCGGTGTCAGGCGAGTTCACTCCTGAAACGAGAACCACATTGGGCTGCTGAGCGCCACAATTAAAACCCGCTGACCTACTTTCCTGCATTAATAAAAATCACCCGCCTGCCTTGTTCCTCGGAGCGAGGTTTTTCTGCTTTAGGAGAACTCTCTTGGGCAGACGGAGTGCCTATGTGTAACTCTTTAGCCAATGGGTGAAAAAGAAAAACGACTCTGTAAATTTGTAGCTGAAATGTACAACTCAGCCCATTGCCCCAAAGGCAATGAGGAGGAGGGGGGAAAGCTCCTTAGTCAAGTCATTTTTATCTGGTGTCAAAACAAATTAAAGCAGATTCTGGAGCAGCCGGGTCACCTAGGGCGAGTACGAATCACCCTGTAGGCGACCAGAAAAGGATGCTTTAGATCGCTATGTCCTTTTGGGGGAGAAATGCTGACGTATGCAGGGGTGGACAGACGACTCGCTTTGGGTGTCAGGATTCCGTTTGGAAGGAGATTTTCTTGGCTCCCTCTGCCTTAAGCTTAGAGGAAAATAGCAAGACTTTTTTATTCTGCTGAGCTGTCAGTGAGGATTGAGCTTCTCTCTCTCCTTGTATTCCTGCCAGGATGTCTTCCTCTGCAGTAAATTTGATGGCAGGATGGACATTTTATTACTATGCCAGCTTTTTGTTTCGAAGTTTGGGGGCTTTTCAGAAGTGACTTATGTTACAAAGACAGACACAGAAATTATGCAGAAATCAAAGAGCTTTATAGAAATGAGCTATCTTTAAAACAAGTTTGTTTGTTTGTTTGTTCATTGAATTTATACCCCGCCCATCTAGTCAAATTGAGGCAGGATTGCGTGGCTGTTCTGCCCCGTCTCGAAGATGAGGGGGCCAAGATGGAGAGAGACTCCCTTGGCAGCCACATTTGAACCTGGATCACAGCCCTGTCTTATAGTCACCAGGGATACAAAACAGCCGTGGCTAACGGGGCTGAAGGATCTTAGAATCTCCTTGGAGAAGCCTGACAAATCAACAAGGAATATAGGGGAAGAAATAAATCTGACCAGCCTGAGGAAGGGGAAGTGAAAGGAAACGTGGCCACCAACCACTCTCATCTCTGGAAAGCCAGTGAAGCCACGCTTTGCTTCTCCTCAACTCTCCTCCAACAGCCCTTCCTTCAGACTGAGGATTGTCATCAGGTGATGTCTCTCCTGTTTTCCTCTTCCCTCCCCACCATCTCTTCCTTTTCTGCCATGACTTTTTTTTTTTTAGACAGTTAATCCCGGTGGATGCAAATCTGTCTCATGCTTCCTGGAATCTACATACTGGTTTAGACGTGGCTCTGACAGCCTTCCAAGCGACCGGGTGGGTGTAATAAATGCTATATAAACCAAGCCATTAATGGGAAAAATAAAATACCTCTCAGAATTAAACACAACCAAACAATGCTGAAAGCCGTGAGGAAGGGTTAACGGGTTGACGGGGGGTGGGTGGGGGAGGAAGCCTTGCCTCCTTTCTGTGTCTGGATTTGCAGAGCGCCTTTTCACCCGGGCTTCTCCAAATCTTCTCCTCCCTCGAAATGTGCCTCTTTTCTCTCTGAGGTTGACCTGAGGATGCTCGCTGGGAGAAAAGGATCCATCTTTTGTCCAGAGCCTGGAGGCTCATTTTCCCCCCCAAAGGAATCGTGTGGGAATGGGGGAGGAGGTGTGCGGCAGGCGGAGGAAAGCTCTTTTAAAACCCGTGACAAAGCCGGCCATTCCCACCCCCTTCCAGCTTTCCTTTCTGTTCTCTTTCTCCCCGGTCCCTGCAGTAAACTTTCAAGGCAATCAATCATGGCAGAAGGGGAAGAAAAAAAAAAGAGAGAGAATTTCATGAGAGAGAGAGAGACAAAGACCATTTCGAAGCATCACTCAGCTGCATTAAAGACCAAGTGTTTGGGGGTATCCAAAATCCTATCCTTCTTTGGTGGAGTTTCTCCTGGCTTGGAGCCTGCTTCCATGCGAAGATGTGGGCTTACGGCCCATGAAAGCTGAGGCCAAATAAAGTATGTTAGCGCTGAAAGGGCCAGAGGACTCTTGGGTGTTTTTGCTGTGACCAGAGGGAATTTGTTTTTTTTTTAACCTGATTTAAAATATTTTTACCCCGGCTTTCTCCTTAGAAAAGGACTCAAGGCGGCTTACAGCATTTAAAGGCCATACAGTATTTAAGAACAGAGCAATGAGTACACAAAGGTGGCATACATCATAAACAGGCAGGAGTTAAAGCCAAACACACTTAAGTATAGAAATATTAAAAAGAAACAAAAAATATATCCCTTTTGGAAATGGGAAACTCAAGCAGGACTAAAGACACAGTCAAAGCGGCGAGGGACAATCATCCGTCCAAAGAATTTGCTCAGAAGGGGCCTGGGAAGCCATCCAAAAGGAGTCCATTTTTGACCTTGGGATGATGGGGAAGCGGGGGGGGGTTGCTGGTACCAGCCTTCCCCCTGGCTTGCCCAGCTGGGGAGAGAACAAGAGGAACGGAAGCCAAGAGAGGTTTCCTCGACCTGAGCCAGGCAGTAGAATGGAGGAGCCAAGACCTAACCCACCTCGCAGGGTTGGTGTGAAGGTAAAAACGTGAGTAAATCATGTCTTTCTCCCCTCCCCCGGAAAAGACAGTTTTAAATAAAATTATTTCAAATGAAAGACTCTTAAAAATTCTAGTGGTCATCATGCCTCCCCTTGCTTTTCCTGATCATTTTTTAAAATTATTTTTCCTCTCAGGCATATTTTTGTAGCTCAAAGCTTAGCAATCTGGCATCCTTTTGGTACAGGCAGTTGGACTGCAACTCCCATCATCCTCCAAGGCAGCTTCACCCATTTGGAGGGATGACGGCGTCTAGCCATTCCCGGAAGGGCTCCCTGGGCCCCACCCGGGGCTCTAAAGCCCATTTTCCCCTCCAGTCTTGTGGGTAATGTCTGCTTCAGTCTTCCCTAACTTGCTGCCTTTTGGATCAGCTCAACCGCTCCCCCTAAGACTCTATGGGGAGGTTGGGCTTTGTAGTCCAACCCTGTAGGCAGAAGGTTTGGGGGAAGGCTCCTGACCGCAGGCCGGTCCCTGGGGATTCAGGCAAAGGGGACGGTCCTTCCCATCACTGGTGGCCTTCTCCCTTTTTAAAAACTAGAAACGCCGAGGGTTCAACCTGAAAGGGGGATTCTGGGATTTGTGGTCCAAAATAAAGCAATATTTCTATGCTCTGCTTTGGAACGAGGCATTTTGCTCACCCTTTCAGATTTCCACTCTCCCTCTCTAGACTCACCACTGCAATGCCTCTTCTCTGGCTGCTGTTGAGAATTCCAGATGTGTGTACATACATAGTTTTTTTTTGTGGGTCAGTTGCGGTGGCAACAAACCCCACCAGAAATAGCTTCCTGTTTTGAGAACTTCCCGCTGTTTTGAGAACTTCTGCAGTTGTCCTTTTATGCAAGAGCCGGAAGGAGACGCGCCCCCCCCGCCCGAATCACTGGGGTTGCCAGACCCCAGGGCAGGAGGGAGAGAAACCCAGAAGGACTTTGAACTGGGCTAAAGAGTCTCTTGGCACATTTCCAGTTGAAACTTGCAAAACCAAAACAGCGCACCGATACTGCCATCTGTGCAAGGAATCACAGGACCTGACCCTGGACGCCACATGACCTGAATGCCTGCGTTCCATATTGAACGTTTAGGTTATTTAAGTATATTAACAATCCACATCCTGTTCAAAATTAGCCAGACCCAAGCCTGCGGGAAGCACGACCTTCTGAAGGTTGCTTCCAGACAGAGACCTCCGTGGGCACTAACGGTCAGGGACGATGAGACCTGTAGTCCAACGAGCCTTGGGAAAGCCCTGGGTTCTAGTCCCACACATTTTGCCACCTGAGGCAGTGGATCCGAAGGTGTGGATCCCTCCACCTCCCAGCATGCCATGGGCAGAAGCAATCCAGACCAGTTTTTGAATCTCCTGGGCAGGGGTCTCGCCTGGTCAGGGTGCGTGGCCCATAGAGGTCTGTTCCTTCCCAAACCAGGCGACGCCAGTAGAGAACCAGAAGGGCATAGCATTAGCCGTGTGTATTCCCACGCATGAATAAAAGCACCGCTCATTTACACGGCAGGAGGAAAGAATGCATAATTTACGTGGCTTTCAAAACGATCCTGGCGCGAGGCAGAGAGCTCACACACACCCTGCCCTCTCTGACTGGCTCAGAGCTTCACCTCTCGAACCCGCAACTGATTCTGCCACCAAAAACCTGCAAAACAAGCTTAAATGCAGGAAGTGGTGCTTTCTCGCACGCCTGCCTCTCCTATAACCGCTTCTCCTCCCTTTTCTGCCAGTCCAGAGAAAAAAGCCAAAGGAACGGCCAGGGCCCAGATCCTTGGTAGGCAGAGCACCACGGCCTTGAGTCGTGGCTGCTTCCTTTGGCTGTGCTGCAGATCACAAAAGCCCAGTTGCAAACGCTTCCGCCTCCAATTCCTTCTCTTTTCCTGGCACCTTCCAGGCCCGCTTGTTGCCACTTCCCACAAACAACAACAACAACGACAAAGAGAAAAGGAAAGAGAAGAGAATGGAAGTTTTTTGTTTGTTTGTTTTAAGAAGACAGCTGCTCATTTTAGATGTGAGAACCAGCATGGCATGGGGGATAGAGCGAGGCACTACAACTCACAAGATCTGGTTTCGAATCCCCATTTGGCCATCAAAACGGATTGTATGCGCATGTCTGTGGAGGCAATGGTGAACCACTCCTTGAATATCACACACCTCCTGGAAAAGTTACTTTTGGGGAGACAGTTATCAGAACCACCACCACGATCCCCGCCTCTAAAACAGTTGTTTTTCAAAAGTCTGGAGGTCTCCTGCCCCCACAGATCTGTGCAAATGGAGACGAGAGAACGGGTGGTTTGTTTGTATGTATGTGGATGCAATCGCCTCACCAATTGTGAGGGCTCCTCCAGGCAAAAGCAGAAGAATAATCGCTTTCTCCCCATTTAAAATCGCTGAAAGTTACCTGTGGTCGATGACCGTCACGTGAGAAGACGGGATCCCCAACACGGCGCAGCTATCCAGCAGTTCCTTCTTACGAACAGGCCCTTGATGGTAATAATTTCCTGAGGAAAAAAGGTAAAGAGACACTCAGGTTCTCTGCTGAAGTCCGGAAAGGAGCCATCCTCTCTCCCCGACTGAAAAACGAGTGTCTGACAGGTCCTGATAAAGTAAGGAGAGGGAAAGGAGAGAAGGGTTTCCAGGTTACATCAGACATTGGGCTGTTCCTGCAGAAAGAACCTGGTGGAACCTTAAAGGTTGTGAGGTCTGAAGGAAAGAAACTACAAGAAAGGATGGGAAAATGGAAGGTGAATTGTTCAAGGGCTCAAGGTTCATATACCTGTCAAGCCACTGTGTAAACCACAGGTAGACTTTTGGCGTACCAAAGAAGCACCCTGGCTAAAGAGGTGCCGGAGAAGGAGCCACCACTGAAAAAGCTCTGTTATAGTAACACACCCCTTGGGCGGTCTGTGTTGTGTTGAGAAGCACACCTCCCTCCCCCCCAAAGCTTTCGGGGCAAGCTCTCCCCCTTTTTGAGACTCACAGGCTGTCCCCAACAGACAATACTTTATTGAATTTATTTAATTTCTATACCATCTATCTGTCCAACAGTCCCTCCAGGCAGTTCACAGCAAGAAGTGACATAAAGGAAGCATAGCATAACATAATCAGTGCAATAAATTAAAACTAAATTATTGTAACATCTAAAAACACATGAAAACATGTTTGAAACATATTAAGCCCTACACAGGGACATAACATTTACATTAAAATTCTTTATATTTTTTGCTGCGTCCCATGCTGAAATCCAGCATAAGGAGGAGTAAATGCGCGTCAATAACAGTCCCAGTCATCCAACAGATTGTATAAAAGTGCGTGTTCAAATTAAGAGATCTAATGAACAATTATTGTTATTAATATTGGGAATTAAAAAAAATATAATGCCCATTTTACAGATAGGGCACACGGAGGGCAAAGTGGAGGAGGGGCCAGGGCGTCAGTGACGTCAAAGTGACTCATGGCACCCATTACGTCATGTGGAGGGATTGAAAAGTCAATGTTTATTTCGTGACGTCACGGAGGCCGTTACAAAATGGCGGGGCGGCGTGACGTAACGCCCTAGAGTTCTGGGGAGAGAGAGAGAGAACGCCTCTGGCGCCGACGTCACGGTTGCTAAGCAACGCGGGCTGCGGCTCGAGGCCCCGCCCCTCACCTGTGGAAGCGCAGAGCAGCCACCGCTCGGCTCCAGCCAAGCCGAGGAGGGTGGGGGCGAAGAACATGGCTTCGTCATCAGGGTGCGCCGTCACGAACAAGGCGCGCGGCGCATCATCTGGACCGCGCCACGAGGCCGCCGCCGCCCGTGGTCCGTCGGTTAATAGGCTCCGGCCTTCCCGACCCCACTTAGGGCCGCGGTAGCGTCGCAGCCACCGGGACAAAGTTAGCCAGAACAAAAGAAGAGCAAGGAAGAGAACAGGCAGCGCCGCCGCCATAGCGCGGGAAAAGGCGGAAAGGCCTGGAAGGGTCCGGCTAGAAACCGGCGCCCCGAAACGATGGTTCCGGCCGTGCAAAAGACCCGGGCTGCTTATGGAACAAGAGCGGAACTAAGGCGACACATCGATCACTTCCATTTCTATCCAGGCTTTCCTCGAGTTTGGTTAACCGCGGCGTACGTGGCTGTCGCACTTTTGACCCTCACAGCAACCTTGTGAGGTAGAGTCAGGCAGAGCGAGAGTGACGAGGCCAGGCTCCCTCAACCATAAGGACTGGAACCTTGGTCTTCTTAGTCCACAACCAGCAAGTTATCCTGGGCACACCTTGGCAGATGGGGAGAACGGAAGGAAAGGAAGCGGTAGCTTCTTGGAAGGGAGACACAGGCGGACGGAATAAAACGGGTGGATATATTTGAACACCAGGAGTCTGGCATCAGGATGTAACATAATATACTCTGCAGGCGAATACTTGATGACTTATATGTGCAAAACCAGCTAGACAACGAACAACACCCCGTGGCATCCTTAAAAGACTAAATTGTATTGTGTAGTCATGTTTTTGGAGGTCGCTTATCCATGGGCTCGCCGTACGTCTGGCAACTTGACTGCACAAAATCAGAAATTTTGCAGTTTGTAGAATATTAAACAAATACTAGAACTGGTACATGTATATTTTATGCAAGTAGATAGATAGATCGTTAGATAGACAGATGCATCACAGACATACACAGCCTTTCTCCTAGAACTGGCACCCAAGGCTTGCAGTTTGTAGAATATTAAATCAATACTGGTACTTTGGCATGTATATTTTATGCAAGTAGATAGATAGATCGTTAGATAGACAGATGCATCACAGACATACACAGCCTTTCTTCTAGAACTGGCACCCAAGGCGGTTTACACTACAGTTAAAAGGATGTACGTAGTGTATATGAAATACAGTAATAGGACGACAAAGGTTAAGAACCACTGGTTTACACTACACTTAAAAGGATGTACTGTATATGAAATACAGTAATAGGACATTTATGTGCATATATGCATGCAAATATATTTATATAGCATTATTACACACAATGCATATTTGAGAAACAGAAACACGCATCGATTTGAAAGGCCGCCTATTCATGCTTAAAGCACGCCGCAAATAAACAAGTCCTTTTAATTAACGCGTTCGGCAAAGGGTTGCAAGTGAATTTGCAGGGAACTATAATTGGCAATGTTTCAGTTACTCAACATCCCCATTGGAGGGTTGCCAAACTTGTTGCCCCGCCCAGCAACCATATTGTATTCTCATTGGTCGATTTATCACCGCTGAATGAGGTTGTTGGAGGGGCAGAAAGCCCATCGAAGCTGCTCAGTGATTGGCCAGCAGAAGCGGCTTTGGAAAAACATGCTCATGTTATCGCAGCCATAGATACACGAAAAATAGTAAAAAAAATCATGAATATTGAAATCCGGTCTCGATTGGCAGCCTTTTGTTTTAAGTTCGGGTGGGATTTCAAATGCATAAGTCTAAATGGTTATGCCTTTTGATTTTTTTTTGTTAGTGTTGTTGATTGTGTGCTAAATTGTTGGACCAAATAAAGGAACAACAGGTCGCTGCAAAAGCTGAACGTGCAAAAGGATGGGACGTTATTGCATCTTTGTTCCCATTCTTATCAAGAAAAAAAATCAGCAAAACTCGCAGTCCATACTTTCGTGCCTGTGGTTTTCATCTGTGTAAGTGGAAAAAAAATTAAGAGTAATTATTACAAAAATAAGACTTTCATTGGAGCTTCGGGATGGCCATCTGATGTATACTTCTAATGAATATCTCTATGTTCCTAAACTCCTTCTTATCACGTCCGCCTCGGAGGGCGCCCCAACTCTTCTCCCCCATTGGCCCGCGCCTCAGGGTCACTCCCCCTTCGTCCTTCTTCTCTCATTGGCCCGCCGCCGCTGTCTTACTCTCCCGAGCCCAAGCGGCCCAAGGGGAGGGTTCTACGGTCGCCGCCGCAGGGTCCTGGAAGGGGTGTAGTGACGCCCTTTCCACTTTAGGGGGTCGCTGCCCAAATGTTTATCCCGTTTTGCGGAAAAAAGAGTCGAACCTTCAATTACTGCTCGCCTGAAGGAAGAGTAGCAGCGGGGGTAGAATTAATTTTAACGTCGCGTTCGTAGGTGAGGGCGTTGTACAGCTGTCAGGACGCGGTGCGCTGA